TTTCTTGTAGTTTGAGCTGCCAATGCAAGGATCAACCGAATTGTGCCATGTCTAGCAATAGGTGCAAATGTGTCTTGAAGTCTACACCATGTTGCTATGCAAAACCTTTGACAACAAGTCTTGCTTTGTGCTTCAAAACTGAACCATCAGGATTCAATTTTCTCTTGAAGATCCACCTAACCTGGATCACCTTTCAATCTGCAGGTTTGTCCACAAGCTTCCATGTTCCATTCTTTTCTATCATGGACAACTCCTCCTACATTGTGATTCTCCATGCTTCTGACTTGGCTACCTCTGAATAGGATGATGGTTCAAGTACAGCTACATTGCATCTTCCATAAATCTCAGCAAGAGGTATGGTTCCTCTAACTGATGTTTCTTCTTCTGCATCGGAATATACTTCATCAGATTGGTCAGCAGCTAATTCCCTTTGTTGTGGCCTTGCATCTTCTTGAATTTTCTTCTCCTCCCAGTTCCAAACTAACCTCTCATCAACCCTCACGTCTCTAGAAATCACAACTTTCTTAGACTTCGGATTATAGATTTTGTATGCCTTGGATTGGTGGTTGTAACCAACTAGGATTCCAACTTCTGCCTTGTCATCAAGTTTGGATCTCTTGATGGCTGGTATGAGGACATAACAGACACTACCAAAGATTCCAAGATGGTTCACTTGAGGCTTGGCTCCATACCATGCTTCAAATGGAGTTTGATCTTTTAAAGCCTTGGTTGGAAGCCTATTTAGCAAGTATACACTAGTGTTTACAGATTCTGCCCACAACTCTTTTGGCAAACCTTTTTTAGCTAACATGCATCTTGATATCTCCATCACTGTTTTATTTTTCCTTTCACTGACTCCATTTTGTCAAGAGTGTAAGGACTGCTATACTAGTGCCAAATTTCAACATCCCTACATATTGATTCAAATTCCCATGAGGTATATTCACCCCATTGTCACTTCTCATAGCCTTTATACTTGCACCAACTTGGTTTCAACTTGAGTTTTAAACTTCCTAAACACAACAGTAACCTCACTTTTCTGTTTTAGAAAGTATACCCAAGTCATCCTTGAGTAATCATCAATAAGCAAGATGAAATACTTGCTTCCACTCAGGGATAAGGTCTGCATTAGTCCACACACATCAATGTGTACCAATGGAAGCTTTTCAGTAGCCATCCAGGCATGGTTTTCTGGAAAGGCAGGTTTGCTAAGCTTCCCTACTTAGCATGCATTACACAAACTCTCCTTCTCTTCTATTTTGGGTAAGCTGTGAACCATGTTTTTTAGCTTCATTTGTCTAAGACCAACATAGTGATAATGATAAAACATTTTATGCCATAGGTCTATGTCATCTGTATTAATAGACATGGCTTAAGCTCAACTAGGAAGCTTTTTCCCACCATTTTTACATACATCATCACATTACCCTCATTGTCTAATATTGTGCAAGATTGATTTTTAAAGTGCAAAGTTTAGTTTCTTTCTAGCATTTGTCCTACACTAAGCAAGCTTTGATTGATTTCAGGTACAAGTAAAACATTGGTAATGATTTTTGTACCTGCCAAGGTCTGCATAGCCACATCCCCTCTGCCTTTAACCTTCACATAGTCACCATTTCCAATCTTTACTCTTGACTAGTATGATTGGTCTAAGCTGACAAAATTCTCTAGATCAGGTGTCATATGATTGTTTCACCCATTGTCAATCAGCCAAGCTTGAGCATTAAACTGGGCAGCATAGCAAGAGGCCACAAACAGCTGCTCTGACTCTAAATTTTGCTACTGATCTTCAACCATCTGTGCTTGCTGTGTTGGCTGGTTTGATTTGTTTTTGCAGATCTTTTCAATTTGGCCAAATTGTTTACATGTTTTACATTGAATATTTGGTCTAAACCAACATTTACTCTCTTCATAGTTCTTCTTTTTGCAGTGAGAACATGGTGGAAAACCCTTCAATCCCCCTAGTTGATTGTTGGCTTTCTCCTTTCCCTTCTTATCTCCAGTATGTTTCTTGTTTCCTCCTGAGTTGGCTTGCCTTTATGTAGGACAACCAATGCTCCTTCACCATTATCTTCTTGCCTCAAGTTCCTTTTTTGCTTTTAAGCTTAAAGTGCATGAACAAGCTCAGTCAAGGTGATCTGAGACATATCCTTGGAATCCTCCAAAGAAGAGATTTTTTTATTCAAACCTCTCGAGTAAGCTCACCAATACCTTCTCTACAATTCATTTATCAGTTATCTCCTCCCTTAGCAACCTAATCATGTTAACCACATTCATTAATCTATTAACATGCTCTTTAACCACTTCAGTTTCTTGCATCTTTAGTGTCTCAAACTCTCTCCTTAAGTTCAAGACTTGCATATTTTGGGTTTGACTACTTCCTCCAAATTCTTCCTTGAGCTTGTCCCAAGCTTCATTTGCTGTCTCACAAGCCCTTATCCTTGTGAAGACTTTATCTATAACAACAGCATGTATGTAGTTTCTTCTTCATGGATTCTTATTTGATTCAAGGTTGGATTTGGCCCCAACTGTGGCAGTTGCTTCTCCTCTTCCACATACTGCCATAAGCTTTGACCTCTTAGGAAAGCCTTCATCTTAGCAGCCCACATATGGTACTATTCTCCATTGAAGGTTAGAGGTGAGAGTGAGGCTGAACTTGTTGCCAAGAAGACAGGTTTAGGTGTCATCAGAACTGAATGAGAAAGTGCATAACGCAAGCTTTACAAGCCCCTTAAGATCAAGTGGAGCTCTGATACCAATTGTTGTTTATTGGAGCTGGAACACAGACTAAGTACACAGGTGAGAACTAAGAAGAAAGAAGAGATGAGAGAGTTGAAGACAAAGTTCTACATGAATTCATTAAGACAAAACAAAGTTTATACAACTTTGTGTCACTATTGTACCTAACATTCAGACGTATTTTAATATCAAAATACATCCTAACCATACAACTTTAACTACTAAATTACATCACATTAACATGAAATAAAGTTGACAGCTTAATGAGTGTCAAATCAACCAAAAACAATCACTTCATCATGCCCAAAAATCAGCTTCGATGAACTACTCCCAAGCCATTGTTCATCACTTCAAATTCTGCATTTGGTGCCAATTTTCCAGCTTCAGCGAACAACCAAAAATAATTTGTTTCAAGCAAAATATCATCACTTTGAACAGTAGGAACATATTGTATGACCAGCTTCTTTAATGTGCATCAATCTTAATATGTTTGATTCGAGCATGAAACAATGGATTAGATGCAACTGATCCAACACTTTGGTTATCACACCATATCATAGGAGCAGCTGGAGTTGAAGAGCTAAACTCAGAGAATAGACTTTTAAGCCAAGCTATATATGTTCCTGTTTGTGTTAAGGCCCTGAATTCAGCTTCTGTAGATGAGAGTGCCACTAATTTTTGCTTCTTTTAGCTCCATTGAACCAGATAGTCACCACGAAACAAGCAACAGCCATTGGTAGATCTCATGACTTGTAAACTAAGACCTCAAAATTTTGAAGAAACCCCATTCATCATTGTTCAAACATCGATTGTCATTGTCATTACCATTATGACTATAGAGGCTACTAGCTTCTCACTAACGTTGGATCGTGATAGTTATAACTTATGATTACGATTAAACTAATTAATTTATTAAGACTGATCATAACCAACCTACTCATAAAATCCTTGTTGCATGAGTTTGTCTCATATCACAAAATGGAGAAAAAAATTTATGTATATCCTTTTAAAGTACAACGCAATCAATAAAAGAGCAAGTGTGTACCATTGGCGCTGATGTTGAAAATAAATAAATAAATAAATAAAATAAAAAATAAAAACCTTTCTCCATGAATTGTCAACTAGGCATGACAATTATTTACCAACATGAAACAATTTACTCATTCGTCTGTAACAATCACCTCTCATATACATATATATGAACATACTTTCGTTAATACTAGAAAAAATAAAATCCACAGTCAACAATAGATATTCTAATTATGTTTATGATTAATACTGACACCTAGACTAATCGGTCTTTTAAGTATGACTAATCTCAACTTTAATGGCTGAACTTGTTGGAATATGAACATTTTTTGGTAGTTGATGAAGAAGTTGGTATAGTAGGAAAAGTTGCAGCGTTGGAATAGAAGAAATCAAAATTGTGGGCAGAGAAGAGCTCCTTGCGGCACAAGTAAAAGCATGACACGGCACAGAAGAATGATGTGCTCCGGAAAAATTCCAGAGGCAAGTTTGCTGCGACAAGGACGAATTCCTGCCACGGCACGATGAAGGCATGAAGAAGCAACGTGAAGTCTGGGATGCATGCCACGGCATAGCACAAACGCGACTTTTATTCCAGAATTTTAGTTTTAAAGAAAAGTCCCGCTTTAGGAGTTTAAGATTGGGAATGTTTGTTTTCCTTTTATTTTGAGATAAATTAGGGAAGTTTAGATTTTGTTAAATTCTTGCTTTAGAAGATTTATTTTAGGAGAATTGTTATTTAGGAAGGATGTCTTTTTGAGTTTAATTAGGAGAATAGAATTTGTTTAGAATTAGAATTCATTATCTCTTACTATAAAAGAGATGTTGATATTGAATGTAATTGAGAGAGAGAAGTTGAAATAATGAAGTCAGATGTTTTTCTTTTGTGTTCATCACTGATGTTTATGTTGTTGTTGCTCCCAATTCCAATTATTGGTATCAGCATTTACTAGAGGAGGATAAAGAAGAAAATTGGTATTTAAATTTCATTATTAATCGTCAATTCAATAAATTTAGAGAAAGTTTTTATAAACAAAAGAATGTAAATATTGAAGCTTAAGATTAACTTATAAGATAAACCTTTGCTCTTAGAATGCTAATAAATTAGTATTTCCTTAGTGAAATTGTGTAATTAATTAAGATAAGAGTTGCTAAATAATCTATGAATTAAAATCTTCTTCTGTTGTAAACCCTCGATAAGCAATTTAGAAAATGCACAAGTAAATAATCATTAGAATTATATATAATGTTTCGTTCACACAGCATACAAGAAAATGAAATGATCAGATACAAAAATAAATAATATGCCCAAATCTGTTGAATGAAGCAAGCTAGCTATGATTCTATTAACCGATTGAGATCAAAGTTTTGTATACTTATAAAAATCTACTCCATACCAATCAACCACCATTTCTTCGGCTTATCAAAGATGCCAGGTCCATATGTTGAATAAAAAATCTCAACCAGAAGAGGGAATTGCAGCAGAGCAAAAATGGTGACAGGAATACTAGCTAGCAAAATAATTGGAAACGAAACCCACCATATTCGCTCTCGAAGAATAATCACAAGAGTTGTTCCGAAAGTTACCATCATGGTTGCTATAGAGAAGAAGAGCGAGGAGAGACCGATGATCAATTTTGTAGGCAAGTACTTGAGGAAATCTTCTTCACGATATCGCGAGGTGAGGATTCCCAAGAACATCAGCAATGAAGTGCATGAAGAGAACAATGACATTGCATCGGCGATGATGAAAACCATGAAGGAATTGCGGTTTAAATAGAGAGGGATGCCTGTGTATTCATTATAACCACCAGGCACAGTGAATGCTACTGAAAACATTATGGTAGCTATAAGTGCAGCCACAACTGTGCATGAAGTAGCTGTCTCCTTCATCCATTTCTCTCCTTCTTCTACTAATTTCCTGTGCTGCTCAGAAAATAAAGTTCGAGGTGTCTTGTGTTGCAGATTAATCATTTCCTTATATTTTGGTTGCACAACACTCTCCACCTCCTGCCCAAGAAAATAGATAAAAATAAATTATCGTTAAGCACATTTATCGTGTTAGGATTTAGGGTTAAGGAAGTATGTTTTAGAACCTATCATCGAGGTCATAAGTCTTTGTAAACATGTGTTTTATAAAACTTTGATTGTTTTCTCTTCTCTATGAGGATGTCTAACATTTATTTAAAATGTGAATCTTGTATATTGACAATATCATAATTTATTAATTTATTAGTACTAATTAATAGTAAAAGACAAAATTATAGTCAAATTTTCACTTATCAACAATTGTAAATTAATATTTATCTTTTAAAATAACATTTATTATGACCTAAAGAACAAGATTTCGGATTTCTAAAATAAAATAAAATAAAAAGATAGAGAATGTTGTCTGCGTCAGAATTTTCGTCTTAAAGTAACTAATATATACGTATATAACTAAAATTTAAAGTTATTACCTTGAACCATTGTAGTTCTCTTTGCATTTGCAGAGCTGCACCTGCGACACGATCAAGCTGAGAAGGTGGAGCTAAATATGCAGCTTGATGTAAAATGTTGTTGTGACTTTTGTCCCAAGAGGTTGCCACTGAGCTCTTCTTCGCACCAATCGTGTAAATAAGGCTGAAAATTTTTTCTTGGCGTTGCAAAGTTGCATATAAAAATATATGGCGATTATAATCATCATAGCACCATATAATATCAGGGTAATGTTTCATGATCTCTGTGATGATCTCAACAATCCCATGCTTAATAGCTTTGAATATCACTTTCTTTACTCCAACTTTCTCAAATTGTGACTCGCCCTGTGATGATATTTCTTTACAAATACAGCTTAGGAGTTCTTGAGCTTGAACATGTGTCAACTTTAACTCATACATGGACATGATAGCTGGAACTGTGGAGCAAACGAAGCAGATCAAGAGTCAGAAAATACTACGAAAAAACCGAAAATATCAAAGAAATATCACCTCAACCGTACCACAAACTAATAATTAACTATTATTTGTGCTTACCAAATAGTTTTAAGCTTTTCCCCACCATGTCTAGAACGGGATACTTTGCTGCATATATGTACACATGAAGAGAAATTAGAGGTTATAATGTTTTGAACACAATCAATTTACCGCTAATTTGTAGTTAAAAGAATAAAGAATAATCAGATTTAATTTTTAATTTCTAATTTATAGTCTCTCATAATAAAGCACCTCTTGCGATCACATTCTTGTGCTCAGCTGGGCCTTCATAACGGGGTCTTTCAATGTCTTCGTGATTGTTGCTTGATGCATGAGGAGAAGGAATATAAATACCTTAATTAAGGAAAGAAATATGTATAGTCAATTTAGGTGCAAAAGTCTACGCTTTTTCTAAAGTAGTAGCTAATAGTTCGATAAAGTTTTCGAGCTTAACAAAATACAAAATAAATGGTGAAAGAACGTTACCAATTTACATATGTTGAATTGAACAAGAAAAGTTTAAAGAATAATCCAAACTGCATAAGTCACCTACATGAATAAATCCATTTTTGCCAAAGTGCAAGTTGAGTTCCACTAGGAAATGCAGAAGGTTTTTGAGCCAACATATCAAGGGCCGTGTCGCCGTCGTTGTCTTGTTCAAAAACCAATCGCGGATAGCGATGTAAAATATCCAGAGCAATATCTAAATAATGTGTAGAAAATCAATTAACTTCAAACAAATTAAATTTTACTAGTAGAACATATATATATATATATATATATATATCAATTAACTTCAAACAAATTAAATTTTACTAGTAGAACATATATATATATGGTAAATCTCTAATGCAGACGTCCTAAAGTTTTTAGCATGGGGATTAAAGGTTAATAACAAGTAGTTAGCTTCACAAAATGCAAAATTAAACCCAACAACTAGTTGTTAGCTATTTGTTCCCACATTAAATTTTTCAGAGCATTCACACCTAAGAATAATGACCAAAGTAACGCGACATCTACAGGTTTTTTGGATGTCTTATTTTTTAGTTATTCTTTCTTGGGGATGCTTTTTTTTTTTGAAATCTAGATATTTAAATTTTTTTTTTTTTAAATGATGATGAAGGTAATGTACTAAAAGATAATTTTATATATATATATTTTATGGGAGAAATTCTTTTACCATAGAGGTCATCAACAACAGAAGTTGTAAGAAGCATAACTCCATTCTTGCTGTTATCAGGGTTCAGCTCCTCCATTGGAGTCTCATAGTAAAGATATCGAACCATATCTCGATGGCCATAGAGAGACGCCACGACGACGGGGATGTAGCCATGCTGGTTCGGAATGCGAAGCAATCCCGGGTTCTTTTTTACCAAATAATCAGCAATCTTTGTGATTCCACCGGTTGCTGCAAAATTAAGGGCTGTGGCACCACTCTTGTTCTTGATTCCCAAGTCTTCTGCATTGATCCTTTTCACTAGTTCTTCAACAACCTTTACTCGCCCGGCTAGAACGGCAATGTGAAGAGCTGTGTCGCCGTCCGCGGAAAGGCTGGCGGTTAGTGCAGAAGGGTTAAGATCAAGGAAACTCTTTGTAGCTTCCAAATCGCCTGTATCCGCAGCCCTGTATAGATGCAGGTTTTGAATGTATTCGGTGTCCTTTCCATCTGCCAAAAAAAAAAAGAGAACTCTTCTTTTTAGTAAAAAATTCGGACGAGCATTCTTGAGAAGAGAAATCTAATAAAAGGTAAAAGTTTTTGAACTCTTGATACAAGATATTTGATTGAAATTTTCTATTCTAAGGAATTCCGGACATGAAGAATATTAGTCCGATTTGGAAAAAGATAAATAAATAGATCAGAACATCTTCACTTGAGAATTTTCGTTTAAATAAAAAAAAAAAAAAAAAAAAAATCACTGACTGTCCATGAAATTTTTCTTAATTTTAAGAACAACCTCTATAGTTTGACAGATATTGCTACACTTCTCTTATAAATATCACTGATCAAATGTACAAATTTTTATCCTTTGTTTTTTAAGTGGTTTATAGCAAATAGAGATGGAGCTAGCATGTATTGGTTATGAGAATGGCTTACCTTTGCTCCTGCTTGAGCTATCCCTGGAAGCAGATGGCTCAGACATTTTTTATTTTATTATCAGAAACAGCCTAAATATTTCTGCATCAATAAATGCACCCAAATATTTATTATGTACTAATAGGGCAAGAAAGGAAAAAAAAAAAAAAAGTAAGATTATAGATCAACTTTTATTTTTATTTTTATTGAATTGATATACACAAATAAGAAATCAAATCATATATTAAAAAGAAACTAAGCATATATTAAAAAGAAACTAAGCATTAATTATAAACTATAATTTTGTACTTACATGTAAACAGGTTCACTACACTTGTGGTTGCATTTGATGGTGCAAAATAGCACTTATAAGAGCCTGATTTGAGTGGCTTTAGCAAAAAGAGAAAATTGTAAGTTCTAGAGATCATAAAAAAAGGAAAATACTGTATTTATAGTTATTTTAATCCAATCTTTTCTTGTGAAATTACAATAGTGTTCTTCACTTTGTGCTCTTTGTTAAGTGTTAATGAAGACAGATTGTTGGGGCAGTATTGGAAATGACAGACGCCATAAAAAAAAAAAAAATTAAAGTAGGATTAAAGAAGAAGACTAGTCTTAAAGGGTTGCTCGGAAATTTCAATAAAATAGTGAGAAATTAAAGAGTGTTTATTTTTCTTTTTTCTTTCTTGTCGCTTCTTTATAATGACATAGCAATGCCATCTCACTTTAAACTAAACATTGTTTAAGCTTAATTAAACTAATTAATTAACAAGGTAAAGTTCGATCTCTAATTAAATTAAGCATAAATCTTTGGTAATTAAACACTTCATTAAACATGTTATTGTTTTTATTGAGTAGTCTTTTTCTGTGCACTTTAATTTGTCTAACTGGATTAAGATTTTACAGCTATGTAATGAGCGGTGTAGATTTAATTAAAGTTGAAGGAGATGGTGTATCTTTTACCCTTTATTTTTCTCTTTCAAATTTATTGTGGTCCATATCCATATCTTACTTATTCAATACTTCAATAACAAGGCAAATCAAATTGACGGCATCTTCATTAGCTTTCACATTCACACTTTACTAGCTACTTCTCTTCTCAATTTTTTTTTGCTAAACCGATTAAATAAAAAAATCCATAGGTAAATATTTTTTTTTAAAAGAGAAAATTTTATTAAATTTAATTATATGAAAATAACCTTATTTTTTCGAAGAAACGTATCTATGTAAAAGGATTTTGTAATAAGGGAATGAAGCTTGTCCTTGAAAAATTACTACTAGATAAAATAAATAAATAAATAAATAAAATTAAAATGTATCGGTTGGTTTCTATAATATTTGAGCTAATATGTTTAGTAAGAGCTTCAATTATACATAAAAATCAGAGACATTTAAGTCTTTTTACAATGAGTTTCTAAAAATAGTATCTTTCAAATAAAATATCTCTATAATAGTAGGGTGTTCAAAACCGGTTAACAGAGTTTATGAACCGAATTAGTTTTTCGGTTAAGGAATTCTCTTGAACCAGTTAACCGATTTTAATTTAATATTTAATTTTTGATATTTGATCTTTGATATTTTTTAATTTAATATTTTTATAATAAACTTGTTTCGGTTAATTGATTTCCATATTCTCCCAAATCGATAACTGAACCGAAAATTCAGTTTTTTTATTCTCTTTGAATTGAAACCAAACCGGTTTTTCAGATAATCAAAAATTCGATTCAGTTCGGTTTCTATATTTTTTTTTTAACACCTCTAATAAATAAGAAACTCTATGCTACCTTTCTTTTTTTTTAAAAAAAAAAAAAAAATAGTTCTTAGGAAGTAACATTTTTTTAATGATTTTTTTGCCTTGATTTAGAGATATAGTGAATATCTTATTTATTGAAATTCAAATAATTTAATGATTCATTAAAAACATCTAAAAGAAATATTATTATTTAACATTCAGAGTTATTATCATGGATCTTTTGTTAGGTTTAGATTTTCAGCTAAAAACAATAGGACCTGACAAATTTGAAGAAACTCAATTCATCGTTGTTCAAATGTCCATTGCCTTTGCCATTACCGTCGCACATAGCCTTCCCCTTTGAATCTCCGATACAATGATATATAAATCAAGATGATATATCCTATAACACAATCATCAACGAAACTGTTCAAGTATCAAGGGCAAATAGGTAATTACACAATATTGTATATTGAAGGGCAAACTTGGAAATTCATATTTATGCTCCTTTTTTCTGCAATAGTTAACAGTCGGCTTATATTATAAACATTTGGAAGCAACAACTTGAACATCAACAAAATTGTCTCAAAATAGATCATAATAAGTTATAATTGTGTAAATAATTTATTTAAAAAAAAAAAACTAAATACAAATTTTCAATTACTTATTGTAAAAGATATGAATCTCATCCACCCAAAGAAAGTCTTTTGAAAAACGATTATATATACAATCAAATAATCGCAAAGCAAATATATTTTACATTTGCTCTGGTATAACTCCTCATAATTAATTTATTTCCTTATTAAGACATAAATATATATATTTAACCAATATATATATATATATATATATATATATATATGAGACCACAATGGGGTTTGGGCAGTATAATTTAAACTTCAGCTTATCCTAAGTTTAGATAATGTGACTCTTCTTCCTTTCGCCTTGTTGCTATCCGGCTGTTTTATTATCTCTTTTGAATCTTAAAATCCTTTTAATTGGCTCTCTTACGAGCACGTGAATTTATTTTTATTAAATTTTTTTATCTAGTTTTCTACATATGTGTACAACAAATGTAACAAAACCTTCAAAAATTCTCCTATATCTAAAATGTGGATTTAAAATTTAACTATAATATATTAAGAAAATTTTTAGGTGCGGACATCTTCAAGTTTGTAATATATGGATCAAAGGTGAGCGGCCATTTTAGCTTTTGATTTCACATTTTCGCTCAATTTTTATCCACACATTAAAACTCTAAAATGTTTGCATTAAAGATTATTTAATAAATAGTATTTACTTACCAAATGTCATGGTAAAAAAAAAAAGGTGAAAAATGATTTTTACATTCAATTTAAGATTATGTAAAACCTTTATTGAAATTAAATTTCCAACAAATTAAAACCAATAAAATTTAAACAAAAAATGAAATAATTGATTGATTTCATAGGCAAGTAGCATGTAAAAGAACTCAAATACAAACTTACACCCTTCATGTAAAAACATTATAATGAATTGGGACCCTTGATCAAGTATATAAAACCTACTCAAATTGAAGTTCAATTGTCCTTTATGTTGACAATTTTTTTTTTTTAATTTTTAAGAATTTAAGCTCAATTAATTTAACTAAATAAATAAATTGTCCTTTATGTGTGCTTGCAATAAATTGTTTGAATTAATTGATGCAACAAAAATCTTGAGTTAAACTAATAAATAAATATATTTTATTTAACTTTTTAATTGTAATTTAAGTTCATAACGTTCACTAACATCAATTAATTTATGAGTATTTCTGAAAATAAGGGGAAAAAAACATTTTCACTGTCAAATTTAATATTTTTTTGGTTAAAATTAGTTGAAGAAACTAAAAATAATTTGGCACATAAAATATATGTTATATGATTTTATGAAAATAGTAAATAAATATAAAAAATAATAAATCTTTGTCGGTATTAGAAAAAAATTATATTTATATAAAAAAAAAGGGAGAAAACAATGACTGCGCCTAGAAACATTAAGGAGATGTTTGGTTTTGATAATGTTTAATTATCAAAAGAAAAATAAGATTAATAGAATAAATTATTATTATATTTAATTCATGTGATCTGTATAAATAATTAATTTGTTTGGTTGAGAGTAATTCCAGAATAATTACATATTATTTTACTTGCGATTAGGGGTTGAAAAAAAAAAATAAGGTACCCATAGATACGGGTTTTGGTGCTGGTTTCTACCCAAACTGACACATACAGGGTCGGTTTCGGTTCCAAAAACCTGGAACTGATACTAGACAGTTTTGATTCCGGTTTCATCCTGTAGGAACCGAGAACCAAAACCGGAACAAAGAGAAGAAGAAGAGATAGAAAAGAAAGCGCCACCGGGACCAAGCATGAAAGATTGACTAAAAATGAAATCAAACGTCGCAAAATCACACTCACAGTACCAAAAATCCAGATCTCGTAATCACAAACCAAATCAAAAATAAAAAAAATAAAATCAAGCATACAACGAGCAATATCAACCTGCAGACAAATACACCCAAATACATTCAAACCAGCAAAATCAAGTTGCAAACAGATGCACCCGAATACATCCAAACCAGCAAAATCAACCATACAACCTGAGAAAAAAAAGTATTATATGTAATTTTAATTTTGGGGAAAAGGCAAAGTGAGAAGCGAAGGAGCCAGCCGATCTAGGTGTTTGAGGAGATAGAGAATGAGGAGAAAGCATTGGAGGTGTTTGAGACGATGGTGGTGGTGGTGGTGGTGGTGGTGGTGAGGTAAAGGTAAGGGATGGTACGTGTTTGGACAAAGAGGTAAAGACCAAAGAGCTAAAGCTTTTGTAAATTAAAGCAATTCATTAAAAAATTAAATATGAATACTAATTAATAGTTAAGAAATTAAAAAGAAAAATGAAATTTTGGTAAATTTTGAAAAACAAATAATTTTCTTGAATTTCGAACAACTGATTTGATTATACTGCATGTCTATTATCAACAACAACTTCGTGTCAATAAATAGTAAATAGAGCAGATTTTTAGATAACCTTATCTTTTACTGACCAATTTATTACTTACACGTAAGAAAAGTTATTTAAAAAGAGATTGGGTTGATAGCTTCACCTCCACTTATTAATCACATGTTGTAATTCTTGGTTTTGCTCAGTAAATGGCTGCAGTTACCATCGAGTACTGACCTGACGAGTATGTGTTTCGCTTTTTCTTGCAAGTGAGCCCAACGATTATAATTATCATCTATTTGGAAGACACTTTTCCTTTAGTTAATGGCTAGCTCCTTCTATCTACTTTTGAGGTTTTTCTATGAGAGTGGTATTGTTCTCATTCTCTCCACACTCCACTTGAGAGCTCCATTAATTTGCAGCTTCAGATTGCATCCTACCAACGTACCAAAATCAAACTTGCGAGTGGTGCAGATCATGTGGTAGAGTCCAAGTGAGAGAGGAGCTGATGAGGAGAATAAGAGGAAATAACAAGGGAGGATATTGTAATTTTTACAGGTATGTTTGGCATTTTTTTAAATAGTAGGGGGGTTATGAACATTTATAGGTACTAGTAATACTAATTTTGTTCCAATT